ATGCTGATTTTTGATGTTGATAAATTCACGCACAGTTTCGATGGAATTTCCGGTGATCACGGTTTTTGATTGGCTCACATGTTGATCGTCATTTATGTCTTCACGACCACTTTGGAAATGTTGAAACCACTGTGCACTCTGCTACGTGATAGGCAACCACCGCCATAAACTTGTTTCATCCATTGAAACGTTTCGGTAAAAGTTGTGCCAATTTTAAAACAAAATTTAATTTTGGCTCTTTGTTCGCAGCTCATTTTCGCACCAATAACACAAACATACTGACACTTAAAACGGGAAATTAACTTCACTTCCAATCAATGAAATATCATGAATTTCTGACCGGAAAATAGATAAAGATACCAGATTCTAACGCAATAGTCGACATATAGATGACGCCACCCGGGGGCAGTAGATTCAAAAAGTCTTGTTTACTTTGCCACCCACCTTGTATGCACAATTATACAGAAATTATCAACAAATTTTCAGTTTTAAGTCGCTTTCCAATGTTTTGGTATTTTTTTCACTGAGTTCATAATTAACCCTGGAATGGTTTGAAAAGGAAAAAGCGTAATGTTATATCAAATGGTTTTAATTGTACAAGTTTGATCATGTTTCAATGTGTTGTTACCCCCACTTTCTCAGCTAAAATCCTAAGCAATGGAAGATATTACAAACAAACTTCGCTTATGAGTTTTATCACTCCCTAAATCTAAATTACCCACAAACTCGTTCAACATTTGTAAGCCTACCATCGAATACATGATAAAATTTGCTGACAATGTTGGAAAACACAAATACAACAAATACAATATTTTTCCAGTAAAGTAAACATTCGACGACCTCACTTGACTTTTGCGCCACTTTGGACACTTCTGGTATTATGTCTGAATTTAAGCGGCACTGTTGTTGTGACAAATAGCGGACATTAGCCGTCAATTTGTAGACTGTTATGGCGCGTTCGACGAATGTTAATTTCTGTCAAATTGTTTACAAGTGTCTACAGTTTTCAATTCATCTTTGCTTTGGTTGGAGTTCTGTTTGTTTTTGTTCAACCATTATATAATATTTAAGTAAATTTGCGGTTCGCCAAAATTTACATGCCACAACACAAAACAAAATATCTTGTAACACACATACAAGTATAATTAATTTTCAACTCAGACTTAGCGATTTGTTTACATTATGCACGTTACCGCAAAGTTAATATTGTATAATCACTGATTTACAATTAGGTTAAGGTGAAACATTAAATAACCAATTGCTCTGCGCTTATTGAATGCTAAATAAGCTAATTTAGGCAAGCAAATTAAAACTTATGTAGTGCAAGACAAATTAATTCATTCGTACAAACAGCTTTGATTTTTCGGGCTTCTCGTCTTATTTGTGGTGGAGCCCTAATGACCTTCGATAAAAGGTGGGTCATACAAATTTCAGTTTTAAGACGCCTTCGAGCAGCTGCTGGATTGTATAACTCCAAAAAAAAAAATATATATATATGTACGTTAACTTCGTTTGCACCGAAGCCATACTACTCTTCACAAATACAAAAGATTCCGCACAAGCACTCGATTTTTTTGGTCAGTTTGTATGAAAGCTACATATATGGTGCAGTGGTCCAAGTGGTGAACAATTTCTTAGGAGATTGTACTGTTGCCTTGAAAAATAATTCATACAAAATTTCTAAAGGATATCTCGTCAAATGAAATAGGAATCTCCGATATCGACAGTTCCGACAAAGGAGCAACTTTTTGACGAGAAAAGAACCCGTTTAAAATTTCAGATCAATATCTCAAAAACTGAAGGACTAGTTCCGCACAGACAGACAGACAGTATGACATTGGTAAATAGACTCAGCTCGTCCCGCTGGTTATTTATATATGTATAAGTATATACTATATACTTCCTTTTGTGTGCTACAAACTTCTTGTTAGACTTGACTTACTTATGCTGTTCTTCTTCTTCTTTACTTGCATAGAGGCTGTTTACAAAAAAAAAAAAAAAAAATAGGAAATAAGCACAAGACACTAAGTGTAGACGGGGGGACACGTAATCACGCCGAATCATAATTTAAGATGTTTGCTATAAGATATCGTATCGACAGAATAAAATGACAATTTATGTAGATGGTGAGACTTTTTAATGAGTTTAACAATTAGAAGACAAAACTTTATAAATTTTCTTTTAAGAAAGGTTTAGGTCCGTGAAAATGGTCTGACTCTCAAAATTCTCATCTCAAAATATCTTAATTTACCGCCGAAGATAGGCACATGGACGTTAATACGTCTTATCATCCAGTTCATATTGCAGATAGTCCTATATTTATTAATATTTCAAGATATATAAAAGGATGGTATAAGTTAGATAGCTGATGAAATATCACACGTGGACTGCTACATGAAGTCCTTTGTGAAGCCATTGAAAAGAACTTAAATTAGCAAAACACTTAGTAGCCGAAATAAAAGTTCAAATTCATAAACGCGAAGCAATCAAGGAGGAAGTGTTGAGTTGTTTCACCTTTTCTTCTTCCATAAGGCCTCCGAAGATAACGTCTGATAAGATTCCCAACCTTACAGCATGGCCTGTTATAAGCTCCACAACTAGGAAGAGGCTTGCTTATGGCAAAGAGTTTAGTGGATCTCTTACGATCGATCTTGAGCCAAAATCCAGCTATGTAATAGTAGAATACATACCGAAGCACCGACCTGCTGCCATTCTGTCGGCAGTGGTTCTAGGGTGCTTTTTTTGCTAGCTCATCTGCTTTGCAGTTTAATGTGATTCTGCTATGACCTGGCATCTATACCACTCTTAACATAAAGACACTCGATACTATTGATAGCGGGGTTAGTCACTCTGAGTGAATGGCTTGGAAGACACTGCAAGAAGCTCACTGCCACTCTCCTCCAATGGCTTTGTCCCACCTACAATTGCCTCGTCGGTATGTATTCAGAGAAGAAGCTCCCATAGTTTGGTTTGGCGACTCCATAATCCAAGTGTTCCGATATAAAATCAAAATTTGTGAAGATATCCGAGTGTTCAGATACATACGTCTTCTTTTAAGAACTCAGATTCTCTGAGTCTGGAAGCAACTTTTGCAGTCATATACCTTAAACAATGTCTTCGTAATTAATCGATGATAAAATTATTTTAAAATACTGAACTTGGTTAGGTTGAAATAATTTTGAGAATTTTAGAGGTTTATCAATTTTTTTTAAACAAAATGAATATTCTAATATATTTCTGACAAAAGACCATAGTACATTGAAAGCTCTTTGCTAAACAAAAACCTAGTTTAGGTGTTAGATGGGTTTCCTCGAGCCAAAAAAAATTTATTGAAAATAAATTTTATTTCATATTTTACTCACACTTTTCATTATTCCAAAGCTACACATTTTAAAAACATTTTGTGACAATTTTAAAAGGAAATATTCAAAACTCGACCACTACGACGTCATTTTGGGAACTTTGAGCTTAATTACAAAATCATCAAAAGAAAAAAGGAAAAAATTCGTGTTTTAATTAAGTTCATACACAAGTTATAGGAGGAAGGAAATCCAAAAGAAAAAAAAAAAAGTGAAAATTTTATTTCAGTAGACGTGTTAGCAAAAATAAAAATTTAGTTTAAAATTGCTCGACTTTTTTTATAAATAATTTTAATAGGGCAAAACAAAATCCTTCGTTAAAGACCTTATAAATTACATCTCGAAAACCTATTTAAAACTTCATTAAGATCGGTTAAGTAATTCGCGAGAAATCTTTACATCCCACTTTGAAAACCCATTTTTGAGAAAAACGCATTTAAAGTTTTAGGTGACTATATAGGTGGCCGCGAGGGAACAACTTTTAAAAGTTGTATCTCCAAAACTATTACTCGAATCAACTTGAACATTTGAGACATTATTCAAGAGATGTTATAAAATTAAATGAAATAATAAAGATATTATTTTTTGAAGCCGTCTGCTGGCTAGTAAGTTATGTTACTAAGGTTCTTTAGTTTACTTCACTGTATATTCCTTTAAAGTGTCCCACCTTATGACCAAAAATTGTCCAAGCCCAACCAAACAAAACCCCTAGGTACCGAATATGTGGACTTTAGTATCTCTAGTGCACTTCTGACCAAAAGTATCGGTCAATGTGTGAGATATACAGTTGAACATCAGAGAGAATCTTTTCTTACAACAGTAATTCTTTGTATAGAAAATGGATTGATTCCAGAGCCTCCATACACCAAATATAAAGAGTTTTAAACTGCTAGATGACTTTATGCTGCATATAGTATATCGGCCTCGATGAAAATTACACAACGTATTTTACTCATAATCCTTGTACCTAAAATGGAAAATCATCAGGATTTTCAAACATCCGTCTGTCTTTGCTCCATATGATTGGTGATTGTATGTGAGGTAACTTAATGAAACGCAGGGAAAAGCGCAGGGCCTACGCCAACTTCTATATATTATGTGTAATATGTTTTTTCTATCAGAAGGCAATTGTCTGACTTTGATTCTAGCAAGTGGTATGAGTGTGAAAGGTGCGATTGCACCCAAACTTACCGTTCTTTACTTGTTTTCGGTTAAGGCTGTGAAGTGACGAAGTAAATAATTATGAAAACAAAATTGCAACATCTAAATACCGCTGACGCCTTAGGTCGTAGAGAAGTTGCAGTAAAGCAAAGCGCTCAAATGGCTTGCAAATTGTGAGCAAAAACGTAAACAGTTTTGTTTATTATGCTAAAAGTTTAGTTGAATAGTATGGAAAAGGTTTCGGAAAATTTTTGGACACATAATACATATATATGTAAATACTTTTAAGCGACATATCAAAGCTCATTAATAAGACATAACACTCAATCTTATCATATCTCATCATACCTATAAACATTTCTTTCTTAATTCAATCATCGATAGACTTGTCTTAAGCTAATTCGTACAAATTTTGATTTTGAATCATTGATGGGAACAAATGCTATTAAAATTTTAGTTACTTAGTTTTTGAGGACTCACATTTTCACTTTAATTTTTTCACACTTTTAATTTAATTTAATTAAGTAACTGTCGGTGACGGCACTTGATTTTCACTCGGCGACAAGTGAATTGAAAATGAAATGTTTACTTTCGCGCTTTGTGCGTAGTTTAATTGAACGCGTCCGATTGGCAACTGAATTTCACGTCTTGACCAAGTAACCGTTGTAGACACTCAAGCCCGCCAAATATTGTGGAATGGGTTAGACTTTAAGTGGCAAAATCAAAACGACCACCGAAACGAATGCTTGACGCGAAAAGCGATGAAGAAGTTGAGAAAAGAAGATGGTCAAGTTACGAAAAGAAATTAAGTAATAAACCGTTAGCCAGGCGATGTACAGTGCAATGGATATAAGGTGGTACGTACATACCAACATTCAACTTTAATCACAACTAAGTACTTGTCTGTTAGTATGCAAAACCACTAGATATGTGGCGGGTAAAAATATTGCAAAAGTAGCCGAAGAGCGCCGGTGTGATAAACAAGAAAATTGATAATTACATTTTCGCTCAAAATGCTGGATAATTTATTATGTTAAGAGGACAGTGTATATAAAAAAGGGTGTTTTTTCAGAGATGTAGTTTTCAAATGGAAATAATACGCATATAAATTAATGATACGGACAAGAATTTATCTTTTTTTATAAAGTTAAAGGATTAGCATTATGTTTAGTAAATAATTTCTGGCAAGTGACATATATATTCCATCCAAGCGGCCGAATTGCCCGGTTTTCTTATCATTTTTGAAGCAATTATATTCTCTTCTAAGGAGTCAATTGTCTCGGATTTATCTGCTATCAACATCTGACTTCACATAACTGAAAAATAGAATACAGCGGCGTTTTATCGCACGATCTCGTAGGCCACACGACATGAGATAATGCGCTCAGCAAAAGTTTCCTTCAATAAATTGACTTTTCGTTGGCTGTATGACATGTAGCGCCGTTTTGTTCGAACCAAAGGCCAATCACACCAATATCCTCCATTTCGGGCACGAAAAAAGTCGTTATTTATGGTTCCATAGCATTCCCCCGTTGACTGTAGTATTATGCTAGGTTTCATTTATGAAAAAATCTGCTCATAAGCAGACCAAAAAGCAACTTTTTGTGGATATATTGACGTCTCTACAATGATTTACCAAATTGGCCAAAACAATTAGTTCTGCTTTCTCCAGTTTGGACAAAGAAGCGAACCAAATTACTCTGGTAGTAAACGAGGGTAAGCCGAAATATCCTGTCGTCAAACAGACAGTACTTGCATTCGCAACTTGGCTCTCACGTGACTGTTGATAGTCATAGCTTCGAAGTCGTAGATAATATCGGCTTGGAATCAGTACTAGCGGCAAAAATAATGTCAGTCTCGAAAGCCAACGTAGAATAACTCTTGCCAACAGCTGCTTACTTCGAACTGAGTAGGCAATAGTGAAGTAAAGTCCTCTTTTGACGAGCAAAGACCAAATTCTAAAAGTCACTCACCATCCACGTCCTGCCATATGGTGCGAGGCATGGACGATGACAATATCTGACAAGTTCTCGAGAGAAATGTTCTGCGGAAGATTTATGGCCCTTAGCGCATTGCCAACGGAAACTACCGCAGTCAATAGAACGACGACATTGACATCGTTCAGTAAATAAAGAGACAGCGGTCTTGTCATCCGGAAGGATGAAAACACTCCAGCTCTGAGAGTATTTGACGCAGTACCCACCGGGAGAAACAGAGGAAGAGACAGACCTCCAACCTGTTAGCAGACCAGGTTGAGAACGAACTAGCTAAATTGGCGGTCTCCAATTGGCACAAATAGTGAAAAGGAAGAACGACTGGCGCGTTGTTGTCAACTCGGCTATAACCGCGTAAGTGGTGCCTACGTCAATAACGAAGAATATTAAAACATCACCCATCGCCGAACAAAGTTTTCTTGTCGAAGTTTGGATCGCCGAATGCATGCTTGATGGTCGTTCGGCTTCAATTATTGCACGAGTTTGATTTTGTAATCCCACAAACCAAGATCTTTCCGCAAAATTTTCCATAAAATTGATGGGCATAGCTCCAATTCTGGCACGCGGTGGTGGATTTACTCTTTCGGGTCTTCTTTGATACTCCGTCCAATAACCTTCAGTGGCTGTCTCACTTGTTTAAATATGTTAATATATATAATGAAGACTTTACCCCTAAAAGAATTCGCCTTTTTTAAATTTAATAACAAAATATATTTAAATCTATAGACATTATTGAAACTATGAAACTTTCTTTCTGCTGCAAAATTACACATACAAATGCTAATTATTCAATACAAAATTATCTACAAAATCTTCCAACATGTCCGTTATTCTTTCCCGGTATACGTCATCGGTGCGAAAAGCTTCCAAGCACATCTCCACACGTTTGGCATCAAAGAAATCAGTGAAACCGTTCGCCGAAGAGGTTACAGCTTCAGCCAGTTCTGTTGGCAGATCCGTCAAGTGAGAGAAAAGTAGACTTTCAATAAGTCCAACAATACGGAATTTGTCTGCCGTCTCATTGAATTCTTGGCGCGGCAAGTAGTCTGCAATGTTAAGACGCTCCCGCTCCAAGAATTTGGACATAAAACAATAGTAGTCATCGAGCAATTCAGTTAAATATTGCTTTCGGAAGCTGCTGCTTGTCGGTATGGTGAGTATTGTTATGACATCTAACATGGGTGGTGCATAACGGCAAAGTTGAAAGTCCACCACACGGCACTGTATGGGCGTCTTACTAGATTTGCTATACTGAAACATGACATTGTTTGCCCAAAGATCGCCATGGCAAAATACGTTTCGATATTTGTCCGACGTCTGTGCCAATTCGAACAACATCGCCATGCGCTTCGGAAACTCCACTAAAATATAGTCCAAGTTCTCCTGATATTTCGGCAGTAATTTTATCACTTCCGCAAATACTCGATTCGCATTGTTGAAATTTTGTTTACGCACGTGTGTCTCCGGAATGCCCACCGGATACGCGTTCTCCACCACAGCCTCGGGATGTAGCTGGTTTAACTTGCGTCCAGAACGCACTTCATAGATTATCGAACTGGCATGCAGCGCTGCAAGTGTCTTCAATACGCAATGCAGGTGATCATAGTTGAGAATGCCGTCACGACCGGCGGCCATGCGGAAGTTCTGATCCGAAAGATGTTCGAAGACGAGTAAGCGCTCGTCAGCGTAGTAGCAATTAGGCGCCACATGTGGTATAATTTTTTGCAATTGAGGCATTAACTCACGGTATACACTAACTTCTTTTTTGAAAACGCCAAACTCTTCTACATACTCCATACGAGATGCCAATTCCAATGGTGGCGATTTGGTGAAAAAGCGCACTTGCTCCAAATGCTCGTTTCTTTCGGCATCAATACGGCGAACTTTGAGCGTGAGGAACTGATGGCGACCCAGAAAACCAGTGACTGTGTCTGCGTTGGCCGAATGTTCGTAACTGAGAACTTCAAGTGTACGCGGCTGTTTGAACTCATTGTACTGGTGATAGCTCTGGCAAAGTCTGTGCAAAGCATTGTTGCTTAACTCAATTGTAGCTGTCATATTGAAAGATGTCACTGAGGAGCCTCTAAAAAGAATATTTTCAAGCAAGAAATCTTTTGGATATAGTCTGAACTGCATTAGATGCTGAAGCTGAATGGAATCCAAATTTAAAGCCATTGAGCTTTTGTGTGCTCACTATCAGCAAGCCCTGTCAAATTTAGATGAGAGTGTAAGCGTTCAGCGAACTTAGAATGAAATATGTTCTATTTGAGTCGAAATTTGCTTACACAAACAAGATTTACACTTTGTTGAATTTGCTTAAAATATTAAAAAAGTAGATAACTTAATATACAATTCATGGTTTAAATTCTCACGCCATGCCATATCTGAGATGTTGTATAATTGCGCCTACAGTTGCGATCATGAAAATAACATTACACGAGAACCAAAAACAAGAGAATCTAATAAATTCGACAAAAGAACTCTAAATTGTTTCCAAAGTTGCCAGTGTCTTCACAATTACTGTCAATTGATCATTTACGGCAAAGTTCCAATGCTTCAAGTCCAGTATTCCGACATAAGTTCGTTCGATTCGCCAATTTTGTACAGGACCACTATATATAAGGTCGGTAAAGAACAACCTCTTTACAAACGAAGCTAATGGCAATTGCTTAATAATTTAAAATATGAATAAATGTTGATTGTAAGATTCATCCATTGCAGTCTATTGTACTATAATGCTTAGCTGGATAACTTTTTTTTCGACAGAAGAGCAAGTAATTAACAAAGGACACTGTTTCCACTTCAAAAGAAGAGCTAAATGAACGCTAGTCGCACTATTTTTTAGTAAGACGAAATACAAGTTTTCACAAAAAGAAAATATTTAAGAACTGTACTGGAATTAAATATAATATAACCCAAAACTATAAACAACGAAGTGGAGAGGGCCGTAAACAACCATAAGGCGTGTCATTATATAGTATAATTGAGATATTTTCTTGGTATTAACTCTTTGTTATAGTTTTCATTATTCAATTGCTAATTTTCCGCTCATCGTTGTAATTCGGTAGGTGTTTGTTTCACTTTGTAGGAAAATGCGTTTTATCATTTACGTATGATCCCAGGTTATCTTGAACGACCGGCTACCATTATGTACACTTGTAATAAATCAAAGGCACTCCGTGGCTTATAAATAAACTGGCGAAAACATTCCTATATTTTTAGATAAATAAAATGTTTACATATTTGTGTAATATTATTTATTTGAATTATTTTATTTATTTAAATTTAAGTACAAGAGGCATTGTTAAAATATCTAAGGCGTATGTACTGTATACATTGGTACACCAACAATTATGTCTCAAAAGATCTAACTCTAACTTGGGAACATATACATTCTCTTTATTGAATATACGGGATGATAAAAACCTAAAGAGAAGACACTTTTTTATTGTGTATATGAATAAGAAGTCAACTGGAGGGGTGGGGTCCATTCGACCTAATCTGACAACAAAAAAGTATTAATCCAGATTAATGTCGCAATGTCTGGTGCTATAGAAAAGTCGGAAAAATATGTAAAGTACGAAATGGCGACTGCCTGATAAAAAAATTATATAACTTT